ATTTTGCATCATGCAGTAGCCAAAAATTTTATTTAAATATAAAAACATCAACCTATTACCAAGAATTGCATAACTATTATAATCATATCTACATTGCTTAGACATTTAATATAAGAAGCCCTTACATGTTATTTAATTTAAACTTCATTTTATATAATGATGCCACGTGTTTATAGCTCTTCTCCATGTATTTTATTTTACAACAACAATGACATATAAAAGTTTACTTTAACAAGTGGAGCCATTAACCCTGCTGGTAACTCATAGTATGGGACTGACGGAGTGAGATCAATATCTGGAGGGGCATCCTCTGCATCCCCGGGGGCGGGAATCCTGGAGGGGGCTTACTGAAGTCCGGCATCGGGAAGCCTGGGCCACCAGGTCCTGAGGGTGGTGGACCTTGCCATGGAGCTGAAATATAAACCAAAATTGTTGTAATTTCTAAAGGTAATAATAACTAGAACTATCACTAAATGTGATTAATACCCCCACAAGAGTGCTTCAGAATTGAGGATGTTACTAGTAACAGAATACCTTGTGAAAAATTGAAATATAGAGTTATGGTTGTGGGCAATTAAAGATAGTTGTGGTTCTAAAGTATGTTGCATTTCCTTTCAAAAGTGGTTGGCCATTGATGAAGTTTTATTGAATTACTCTGTAATAACTCCAGAAAGACAAGGAAAAGGAACAAAGGGTAATGAACTCTATAAATACTGAAGATGGAGTTATATTTCTTGTGCACTGCACTTCCTCTTATTGTGCTTGACCATTGAAGTTGTTTTTTGAATTCCAACCAGTACCTTTTAAGTTATGCTCCGGACAAGGAAAAGTATCAAAGGGCAGTTAACTCTGTAATTTGTAAAAATGGAGTTATGGCTCTTGTGCATTGCACTTCCTTTTAATGTCCTTGACACTGTATGAAAGTTGTATTGAACACGTAGTTTTTCAATTTATGCTCTGGACAAGGAAAAGGGCAATAACTCTGTAATTAGTCAAGATGGAGTTATGGTTCTTGTGCACTGCACTTCCTCTCAATGTGCTTGACCATTGTATGAAGTTATATTGAATTTCAACCATTAGTCTTCAAGTTATGCTCCGGACAAAAAAGCAATGGAAAAGTAACAAAGGGCAATAACTCTGTAATTAGTCAAGATGGAGTTATGGTTCTTGTGCACTGCACTTCCCCTTATCGTGCTTGACTATTGTATGAAGTTTTTTTGAATTCCAACCAGTAGTTTTCATGTCATGCTCTGGACAAGGAAAAGTAACAAAAGGCAGTAACTCTGTAATAAGTCATGATGGAGTTATGGTTCTTGAGCACTGCACTTCCTCTCAATGTGCTTGACCATTGTATGAAGTTATAATGAATTCCAACAATTAGTTTTCAAGTTTATGGTCTGGACAAAAGAATGCAATAGAAGGGTAACAAAGGGCAATAACTCTGTAATTACCTTAGATAGAGTTATGGTTCTTGTGCACTGCACTTCCCTTATTGTGTTTGACAATTGTATGAAGTTTTTTTAATTCAACCAGTACTTTTCAAGTTATGCCCCGGACAAGGAAAAGTAATAAAGGGCAGTAAACTCTGTAATTACTCAAGATAGAGTTATGGTTCTTGTGCACTGCACTTCCTCTCAATGTGCTTGACCATTGTATGAAGTTATAATGAATTCCAACCATTAGTTTTCAAGTCATGGTCCGGACAAAAGAAAGCAATGGAAAAGTAACAAAGGGCAATAACTCTGTAATTACTTTAGATAGAGTTATGGTTCTTATGCACTGCAAAACTTCCCCTTATTGTGTTTTTGACATTGTATGTAGTTATATTGAATTCATACCATTATTCGTCAAGTTATGCTCCGGACAAGGAAAATGCAACGGACGTCTGGACCGACCGACCAACCAACCGACCACCGGGTGACTCCTATATACCCCCCCAAACTTCGTTTTTGGGGGTATAATTATATTACTATTTTAGCAAAACTTCTAAATTATACATGTACTTATAGAAGGTAATAATTATATACCTATAACAAGAGCTGTCGGTAGGACAGCACGCTCGACTATTCTAAGTGCTTGATAGTAAAAGAGCCTTGATAATGTTAAATTTTTTAAGTTCACAAAAGGGCAAATTTTTTTTTATAAATTTATGTTATAGGCCTTAGAGAGAGTCTAATTATACAGTATTGGCTTGGCTATTCGGAAGGTAATGTCCACAAGGGTGTTTTAAATTGAGTATAATAATACTAATTACCTATGAATACATAAATTGACAGAAAAGGTACAAAGGCTTGTAATTAAGATGTTTATCAAGTAAATCACTGCTTTATTATTATGAATGCATAAAATTTGTCCCAAAAATGGCACAAACCCTTCAGTAGGTATTAAGATAACAGCTAACAAGCAAAACTTTACCATGAATTCTAAAGTTGAAAAAGGGAGAAAAATCAGCCTAAATGCGAAGATAATTTAGGATCTTTGTCAGTGACTACAATTATGACCTAAATGCATATGTGAAGTTTAAATAAAATATCTTTAATAGTTATTGAGATATGTAAAACTTTTCATGTAAACATTAACCAAGAGACTAAGTAAGAAAAGGGGATATGATCAGCTTAATGCAAGATAGAGTTTATGGAATTGGACAGTGACAAAATTATGACCTCCAATTATGACCTAAGCATGTGTAAGTTTCAAAGTAAAAATATCTTTGAAGACTTTTACTTTAACCAAATTTCTAAGTTTCAAAGGGCAAATAATTCTGCAATTATTGCCAGGCAGAGTTATGCAATTTTGCAACTGATGTACAGTTGTTACTAAAAAAAGCTATTTAAATTTCAATTGAATATCTCAAGCAATAATTGAGATATTTGACTTTAACAAAAAAACTTTAACCAAAAATTTCGAAGTTAAAAGGGCCATAATTCTGTCAATTTCGTAGGAGAGTTATCCAACTTGTCAATCTATGTACCTTGTTATATTTTAAAAAAGTATTGTAAGTTTCAATTGAATATCTCAAGCAATAATTGAGAAATTTGACTTAAAAAAAAACTTTAAACCAAAATTTTAAGTTAAAAGGGGAATAAATTCTGTCAATATTGTAGGCAGAGTTATCAACTTGTCAATCTGATGTACTTGTTACTATAATAAGTATTGTAAGTTAAATTGAATATCTCAAAGTAATAATTGAGATATTTGACTTTACAAAAAACTTTAACCAACGCAGACGCCGACGCGGACGCTGACGCCGGGGCGACTACAATAGCTCTCATATTCTTCGAATAGTCGAGCTAAAAACCTCTTTGGTACTTATATGAAGTATAAGCATATAATATGTGTGTGTTTTTCTGCGTGTCATTTTAAAATGGCTTGAATCAAAACCTGAGGGATAAGAATCTAAGACAATTACCACTTAAGTTACAAAATGTAAAGTTAAATATAAACATCATTTCAAGATGACCAGTCACAACTATCGACCATTATGCCAGGTGAGTTTAGTTACTAAATTTGAACATGGGCAATGGTCAGAGCACCTTGCCTAGTTCAACATTTTTGCATGTTAATGAAATTGTTATCACATTTTAAATTTAAATGAATACACATTTAAATGATATAAAGTTACCATGGTAATCAAAGGGTGGTGGATGTGGAGGGCCTGGTCCTAATGGTGGTCTTGTAAATGGTGGAGGAGGGCCAAATGGTCCTGGAGGAGGATTGAAATTTCCCTGAAAATAAAAAACAGTTTAGAATCTGATAAATATTATAGTAAAAGTTGAAAATATGTGTTGTGGAGATGTTATATTAACAAAGAGACAAATAACAATTTAGAATTACAATATACATATCCATTTTATGAACCCTAGTGAACCAACTTTCAGTTTAAAAATTCTATTACTTTACAGGATATTATGACGAAAATTTGAAAGTTGGTCACCAAATAATAAACAGTTGGGTACAGATGCTCAGGCTGGTTTGGCCCTGTATTGCTGGCAAAGGCTTTTCAGTTTTGATAACAGCATTGTAAGTCTTATTGAGGCAAATTTTAATTGACAGATTCAGCATCATAATACTATTGTATCTTTTATTTTAAGTTTTTATTCAAATTTACACTGTAAAGGTAAAAAATATAACTATAAGAAGTTTGTGTAGATGTTTGTTTGTCTATCAATGAAAGCTGGAAATAAAACATGTCTTATAACCATTACAGTAACTGTTACTTAATAGTTAAAGTCTGCAATAACTATTACAAGAAAATGCCAAATGTACTCTAAAGTCTATATATATATATATATAGTTAATAAATCTGACCACATCTGAAACTAATATAAGAGTAAGTTTTACCTGAAACACAGCACTGTCAGGTCCACTTGGTGCTGTAGAATCAACTGCTGGTGCTGATGTCACTGTTACCACGGGAGCTATAGACTGTGTTATCACTGTAATATTATAATGTTACTTTCAACAACATTACATAGACTGTGTTATCACTGTAATATTATAATGTAACTTTCAACAACATTACATAGACTGTGTTATCACTGTAATATTATAATGTAAAACTTTCAAAAAACAATTTACATTAGACTGTGTTGAATCACTGTAATATTATAATGTAACTTTCACCAACATTACATAGACTGTGTTATCACTGTAATATTATAATGTAACTTTCACCAAACATTACATAGACTGTGTTATCACTGTAGTATTATAACGTAACTTTCAACAACATTACATAGACTGCGTTATCACTGTAATATTATAATGTAACTTTCACAACATTACATAGACTGTGTTATCACTGTAATATTATAATGTACTTTCACCAAACATTTCCTATAGACTGTGTTATCACTGTAATATTATAATGTAACTTCAACATTATTAACATAGACTGTGTTATCACTGTAATATTATAATGTAACTTTCAAACAACGATTCTATAGACTGTGTTATCACTGTAATATTATAATGTAACTTTCAACAACATTACATAGACTGTGTTATCACTGTAATATTATAATGTAACTTTCACCAACATTACATAGACTGTGTTATCACTGTAATATTATAATGTACTTTCACCAACATTACATAGACTGTGTTATCACTGTAATATTATAATGTAACTTTCAACAACATTACATAGACTGTTTATCACTGTAATATTATAATGTAACTTTCAACAACATTACATAGACTGTGTTACATCACTGTAATATTATAATGTAACTTTCAACAAAATTACATAGACTGTGTTATCACTGTAATATTATAATGTTACTTTCAACAACATTACATAGACTGTGTTATCACTGTAATATTATAATGTAACTTTCACCAACATTACATAGACTGTGTTATCACTGTAATATTATAATGTAACTTTCACCAACATTCTATAGACTGTGTTATCACTGTAATATTATAATGTAACTTTCAACATTATTACATAGACTGTGTTATCACTGTAATATTATAATGTAACTTTCAACAACATTCTATAGACTGTGTTATCACTGTAATATTATAATGTAACTTTCAACAACATTACATAGACTGTGTTATCACTGTAATATTATAATGTAACTTTCACCAACATTACATAGACTGTGTTATCACTGTAGTATTATAACGTAACTTTCACCAACATTACATAGACTGTGTTATCACTGTAGTATTATAACGTAACTTTCACCAACATTACATAGACTGTGTTATCACTGTAGTATTATAACGTAACTTTCAACATTATTACATAGACTGTGTTATCACTGTAGTATTATTACGTAACTTTCAACAACATTACATAGACTGCGTTATCACTGTAGTATTATAATGTAACTTTCAACATTATTACATAGACTGTGTTATCACTGTAGTATTATAATGTAACTTTCAACATTATTACATAGACTGCGTTATCACTGTAGTATTATAATGTAACTTTAAACATTATTACATAGACTGCGTTATCACTGTAGTATTATAATGTAACTTTCAACAACATTACATAGACTGTGTTATCACTGTAATATTATAATGTAACTTTCAACAACATTACATAGACTGTGTTATCACTGTAATATTATAATGTAACTTTCACCAACATTACATAGACTGTGTTATCACTGTAATATTATAATGTAACTTTCACCAACATTACATAGACTGTGTTATCACTGTAATATTATAATGTAACTTTCAACATTATTACATAGACTGTGTTATCACTCTAATATTATAATGTTACTTCCAACAATATTAATAAACATGTTTGTAGTTAAACAAGAATATCTGTAACATTGTTGGATGCTCCCTGATGTTATACAGACAAGGCTTATGTATCAACCTAATCAAGCTAAAACCCTGGCAAAGGGAAAAGGTCAATGAAAGGTATCAACATGGCAAACATAAATGTATCAACACAGCAAACATCTAAATAGTAAGTCAGTAAATATAGTTTATTTGTTTGGTTTTGCTGAGTTCAAAGTCATGCCTGTACTGTAAAGGTCATATGGCCACTTTCCAGCTTTACTGGTGGAAGAAAACCTTGGGTACCCCTTTCTGCATTATTTCATGCACATGTGGGCACCACAGTAGAACCATCAACCATCCATAAGCTAGCTGGATAACCTCCTCACATGAAAGAAATGAAAGAATCCAAAGTCGCTGGCAGAATTAAAACCAACAACAATCAGGTCAAGTGATTTAAAGTCTGCAAACTTAACTAATCAGTTAGTGGCCCTTTAGTAAATATAGATGCTCTTCCTATTAGAAATGGTCAGTGTGATGAAATGACCGACAAACGGGCATCTTTGTACTCTAACAAATTGGAGTATTGAAAATCACAATGCAGAGTACAATTACTGTGTAGCAGCAGATATTGTGGTGGCATAAAAATTAGAAAACTGCACATAAATTTCCATCTACTCATTACATGTAATAGGAAAACAAAATTTTATAACTGAGAAATGAAATATTGGCCTTCAGACAGGTTTTTCTGTAGATAGTGTTTCATTTACATGTAGTTTTTGACAAGTTTGACTGTATTCTATTTAAAACCTATTCTTCTAATTAAACAAGCAAGTTTAATTACCCTCTCCACCACTTGCATGCAAAAAAGTGGTGATTTTAATTAATTTCCTAGAATCTAATTTCTTTGATAATGTTATAACTTTGAAATCCAGCTCTCCAATATTGATATTATAAATATAGGAGACATTAATTAGTGACATTTCATGTCACATAAGCCACCTTAATTTCCCATACAGGAATAAAGTAAGACAAACACGTGAGAGTTCCTGAACTTTCACAACTATGTCAGGATGTGTTCAGCCTATATCATGTTCTACAGACATCAAAAAAGGCGAAGTCTCTCAAATGAAAATGTAACCTAATATAAAGAGGATAACCTTACTCTGACCTAATGCTTATTTCTGTAATAAAAAAACTTCCTTATCACAATCATAGAATTTTAAAATCACAATGTAATAGCAACAGTAATATCAGTAGTTGAGTTTATACAGCTTCATCTTTAATCATGTTTCATATATACTGGTGTACAGAAAGCCTAAAAAGCCACGTTTTGCACTTAAACGACACAACATGTCTACATCTAGTGTTTCTTAAAATATTTTATATAATCTAGATGATTTCTGTGACAGCATCTTGTCTCCTGATTCTCCCATTGATTTATACAATAAGGTAACTTATACAACACAGGTCTGCACTTGTACAGATTCCAAGATCATGATATCTGTCAAAGTTATCAAAAGGTTTATGGGGCTACTGTATAACGTTATAGTTAACTTATATCTGCTCTGACTTTTTTAATCATCAATTACCCATGATTCACTTGTATCATTTCAATCGAACACGTATACTATGCTGGCTGATATAAACATACCGGTAGATGTTATTCTATATTTCAATATACATGTAACTTACAGTGATAAAATTCATATCTCCGCTTGGTGTGACAATGTTGAATTTCCTACATTGTATAAAATCAATGTTTTTGTAACAAAAACATTAAAAGAGAGTAAGGGCTCCTCATCATCATAAACATAAAACACTTTTTTCTTTAAATTGGTTAGGCTGTATAATATCCAATAATGGCACTTTTACATTCCGAGCATTCAAAACAACTAGGATAGAACCACCTATCAAAAAGCTACATGTATCTGGACAACTTCTCCACATGTATCAATGTTAAGTTCTAACTTAGGAAGTGGTCTAATTAAAAAGTGCTAAAGTTACTAAAGTTGTATAAAGTTGTATAACATCAGTATACCTGCAGCCTGTGCCTGTGCTAACTGTGTTTGTAGTTGTGTAAGTTGTGTTTGTAGCTGCTGTAATTGTGTGGTGAGGTGATTACAGAAATCATTGTGTTGTTTCTGTAATGACTGGTACTGTATCTGTATCCCGGAGCTGATCTGTGTTACGATTGGTCCATTCTCTGTTATAAGGTCGGCCTATAATACATAATACAGACTTATAAAACAATTGTTATATATATTATTTGTACTGTTTATTTGGTTTACTAGAAATTACAGAACTAATGTTATACAAATTACTTGAATCATTCACATTTTTCTTAAAGAATTTCTTGATAAAATTAGTATACATAACTACCAGAGACATAGATTTTATCTCCATCTCTGTAACTACATAGAAATATTTGAAATGGATAGATAATGGTCTAAAACTATAGAAATTTCTGTATTTGTTTTTGTATTTTTTCATATGAAAGGCTTCATCATGAACAAAATTCCATTATTTAAACAAAAACAGTCATCTGCATAGATGTAAAATAACACCAGAAATGTATGATGACATGAACACTTACGTGATAATTTGACAATGCTTGATCTGGTTCTTTCATTTTCTGAAAAAAGAAGTAAAAATATCATAATAGAGTTGCTTCCCTTGAATTAAAAAAAATCATAATGTTGTGTGCAATGCAGTAGATAATTCAAGTACTATATTCTAAAGTAGGAAACATAAAATTGTGTAAGGAAAGGCAGATGCACTCTCATCAACTGCAAAAGATCAATGTTCAATACATGCAGATGATTCACAATGGTTATTCTAACACCATTAATCCATAGCAATATTCTGATATTAATTAAACATTTTTCTAGTTGTGCCATACAATATTTTATAAATGAATATTCTATTTTGTTGTTTTCTGAGTACAGAAAACAATACTAGATAATACAGCATTAACTATTCCATGAGAAAAATGGATGGATGGACCCACAAAAACCTTTTATCTTCTTATCTGTGTAAGGACTAGTTGGGCCTATTCTTTCAGAGTTTGAGACATTGCTCCTAAACTATATGATTGCATGTAAACAAATTTGGAAGGACAAAACAATTTTTCTATAATGTTCAGTACAACAACAGGTTAATATATGAAAACAATTTGTCTACAACCTCAACCGATTTAACTAATAAATAAGGCAATCAGTACATTCCACTTGCCTTAAGCTTTTCTAGTAAAACCAGCTAGACACACAGAGGTAAATAGCTTATAAATGTCAATATTCTATATATCTAATGTTTCATACTGTTTTTATAGTACTCCAATATCGTATTACACAGTAAGTTGACACTGCTATCACCTAGAGATTTGAACCTTTGTCAGCAATCACTGTTCTATAAGACATGGCAACAACCTATCAAACTTGTTTACACTCTGGTTGAATATTTTCTCAGAAATATGAAATTTGTATAATATTACAATGACAAATACAGAAAAACAATATACATGTGAAGGCAATTTTTGACTTGTCTTAGGTAATAGCATCATTTAAAAAAAAAATTATTGCATGTACATGTATTTTCACAAGTTTTGTCCAGTCTTGGTCAAGAGATATATTTTGACATAACTGTTATAAAACATGCCATATTTTAAATATATTTGAACATAAAGTATTGGTGACAAGATGTAGGAGAAGTCCATGGAGCAACTTCAGCAGGGTAAAAGCAAGTGAAATCAATTCAATATCAAGCCTGTTAAAGCAGAACAAGTCCATAGGACACACTTTAATTCAGCTGGGTTTGTTTTAATACTCAATATACTTAACCAACACCATGGACTTAAGTTGACAGGTAAAAAGAGTCTTCATTAGAGGGAACAACAAGGTGTTTTGATATAACTGATTAAAAACATAACAGTACAGTAACAAAACATGTTGACACTGTTTTTAATGTCATGTCAAACCAAGCTTCTTATTATGACAGGATACAATGATATAATGTTTATCTTGAACTATCAAGTACAAAAACTATTGTATTTTTTTATATTTTTCCCCTATTTTTTAACCAAACATCTGAAATAATATTCCGGAAACTGAGAAGTCTTTGACATCATTAAAGCAAGACCTGAGCCTGCAAATCCATTCATTCTGACAAGACTTGAAGACCAACTTCCAAGTTCTCATCAACTGATTATGTAAGTTTAATGCTTCCAATTTTTAAATGAAGCAAATTTTCAAGAGTTATGATCAGTCTGCTCCATGCCTTTGGTAAATTAGAAATTAGCACCGAAAGATTCTGTAGTCATCACTTTATCTAGTATTGTCCTAGTGACTTAAAGTTATATTCTGGGGCATCTGAAGGCACTTTAGATGTGGATTATTAGCAAATAAGCACTCCTTGACTTCAGGATATTATGAAGCAATTTGAAACTAAGCAATAATATGCAAAACTTCCTGGAGTATCAACAGTAGCAAAGTTCAGAAATTTAATATCTGCTATAAAATACTTTTTACAAAAACAACATTTTACCACAGTCTCAGGTGTGAGAATATGATAAAAACATTAATAAATTCAATAAATTACTTTTTAATACATTTGTATATCTAAACCAGGTAGATAAACTATATACAATGTATTAGCTAGACCCAAATGTCTTGAAAAATCATTACAAATAAAAATGTTATCACTTTACGTCAAAATTTGACAAGATCTCCCCCCCCCCACCCCCAAACAAAACCATTTTAATTTGCTCCTTCAAAATTCGAGAGTTTACTTCTTTAATTGTGCTTTATAGTTTACTTCTTTCTGTTTCCTGCAAACAAGAATACTTATGACCAGAGATGCAAAGATTATTCCTGCAAAATAACAAAACTCTGGCTAAGGGTTCAACAGACTATTCCTACAAACAAACTCCGGCCAGTGTTCCAAACACTATTTCTGCAAACAAACTCCAGTCAGGGGTCCACAGACTATTTCTGCAAACAAACTCCAGTCAGGGGTCCACAGACTTTTTTGCAAACAAACTCCAGTCAGGGGTCCACAGACTATTTCTGCAAACAAACTCCAGTCAGGGGTCCACAGACTATTTCTGCAAACAAACTCCAGTCAGGGGTCCACAGACTATTTCTGCAAACAAACTCCAGTCAGGGGTCCACAGACTATTTTTGCAAACAAACTCCAGTCAGGGGTCCACACACTATTTCTGCAAACAAACTCCAGTCAGGGGTCCACAGACTATTTCTGCAAACAAACTCCAGTCAGGGGTCCACAGACTATTTTTGCAAACAAACTCCTGAGTCAGGTGTCCAAAGACAATTCCTGCAAATAAATTCCCTCTTGCCAGGAGTCCAAACAAACAAACTCCAGCCAGGGATTCACTTTATCCTTTGTACTTGACATTTTGTCACATCAGCAGAATATCTACTTAAATAACATAAGTCACAAAGTGCTTCACATGATAACTACAATTTATTACATTAAAAAAAGATGTTATGTAGATTAACTTTTATATTGTAGTCCGTTTTTCTCCCTTATAAACTTTGGGTCACAGTTGAATTTTTATGTAAATAATTTCTTCAGTAAATCATATTGATGTCTTAATTATATATTATTTCATTTTTTATTCATGTTTATGTGTTGCTGAATTCTATATAATTACAAAGAAATTCAGAATTATATATGCTTTTATACATTTTATAGTCTCAAATGATTTTTGTTTCCCTGTGTTTTTGTGAGCTTCAAATCAGCAATTTTATTGTGTTTTTTTTATGTCAGAATTTTTACTCAAGTTTCTTTGCTGGTTTTTAATTGGCATTTTATTCTTTTCATTTATTCTTCATTTTTACTTTTGTTTTAACAATTTCTTTTTTTCTCAAATGATTTTCCTCTATGTTTTCCTATTTTTTTTCTTAAAAGTAACAAATAAACTACTGCATGTTACATACTAAACCACTTCTTGTTACATACTTAACTATTTTTGTTACATACTCAACTACTTCTTGTTACATACTTAACTACTGCTTGTTACATACTCAACTACTTCTTGTTACATACTTAACTACTGCTTGTAACATACACAACTACTTCTTGTTACATACTCAACTACTTCTTGTTACAAACTTAACTACTTCTTGTTACATACTTAACTACTTCTTGTTACAAACTCAACTACTTCTTGTTACAAACTTAACTACTTCTTGTTACATACTCAACTACTTCTTGTTACAAACTTAACTACTTCTTGTTACATACTCAACTACTTCTTGTTACATACTTAACTACTGCTTGTTACATACTCAACTACTTCTTGTTACATACTTAACTACTGCTTGTAACATACTCAACTACTTCTTGTTACATACTTAATTACTTCTTGTTACATACTTAACTACTTCTTGTTACATACCCAACTACTTCTTGTACTCATAATATAATGAACTACTTCTTGTTACATACTGACTTACTTCTTGTTACATACTTAACTACTGCTTGTTACATACTTAACTTCTTCTTGTAACACACTTAACTACTTCTTGTTACATACTTGAATACTGCTAGTTCAATACTTAACTACTTCTTGTTACTTATTTAACTATAATGTGTAGAGTTATCCTCAAGAAACCAGAAGAAAATAAATGGTCATGTCTTATGTTATTGCTAACAAAAGTGGTATTGATACAATTAGAAAAGATGTTTGCATTGCCAAAAGAAAACTAAGGAAATAACTGTTCTAGAATAAGGCTAACCAAATAAATTACAACAAAATTCTAGACATCACGTGCCAAGAAAATCTTTAATGAAAGGTCACACCATATGCTTTCTAAGCATTTCCAATAAAGCTCTATACTTAAATAAAAAAGATTGTGTCTGAGTTTCCAAGAATCTGTTCAATTTTCATACTACATGATCTACAACTTGAGACAAAAAGCTTTGTGGTAATTGTCTGGGTCTTGTAGTGAGGTGAAGAAAGTACAAACAGCACAGTTACATTGATAAACGCCATCACCAAAACCTAATTTTATATCTCACCATTTCCTCTATATTTCACAAAACACAATTCAATTTTTCAAGATATAAAAACTAAGTTTCTGAGAAGGCGTTACACACAGTGTATATAATGCTGGATTTTAAATTATGCTAAATGATCATACCAAGACTTTTTAACTTGACTGATGCTGATGTCAGCAAAATGCTAATCAAGATAATCATAGAAACAACTTGAAGAAAAAACTTTTAGTTAAACAAATTTAATAGGCATTGTTCTAACTGTAAGAGACAAAGCAAAATGAAGCTTTTCATTAACACAGAAAATCACTCATTGGATACTATTTATTCAGAGATAATGATTTAAAAGCTCGAAATAAAGGTTTATTAGTCTCACAAAATGGTAACATCTTTTATTTTTCAAAAGCTTTTTATTTTGATGCCCTGTTACAGCTTCCAAAATATTATACTCATTTGTCATTTATCACAGCTAATCCGTTTGCTTCTTTGGCATGTTGGCAATTTAAGTGCAGCTATAGTGACTAAGAATTTTGTATGGAAGTCAAAATACTACTTTGCAATTTCAGAAAGCACATGTTTGCCCTTCAGTTTCTAAGGCTAACTGTGTCTTTAGTCCAA